TATTAATAAGCCACAGCTGAAGAACTCTGCCACCTCTCACTCATTTCTCTGCTTTTTATCTACTTCATTTAGCTTCAGACTGTCTCTTGACACCATACCACTACCTCAAGCTTCTATACTGTCACTATGTGCCTGATCCATTGGACTAGAAGTTATATACACTGAATACCCCTGTCAGCACTAAGCACTGAGTGCTTCTAATAGAGTGGCAGGCGTTGTGGTCACAACACTAACAATGTTTTAACAATAAACACACTGACTTAATTAGACTTTTCCATTACTTTTTACCTGACCTTAAAAGAGAACTATGGGTTATGGCTTTTCCCCATAGTTCTCCTTAGGGTAACGGGAGGACACAAACTAGCGTCCTCCCGTCACCCTAGGCTCAGTATACCGCGAGCTGTAGCTCGCGGTATACTGAGCATGAGTGAAAAGCACTCACCTCATAGTTCTCCTTTAAGGCCCCATTCACACCAGGGTGGATGCGTTTCAGGGCAAATGTTAAAAGGGCCGTTTTGGGCGTTTTTAATCACATTTCAGTGCCGAAACACTATAAAAAATGCCCAAAAACGCACTGATCAGCGCGTTTCCATTCAGATCTGTATGGAATCCATGCTGATCAGCGTGGAAAAAAAGGCTCAGGGAGCATTTCGGCTGGCAGTACTGTTTGCAGCCACCGGCCACCTTACAGGACCCCAAATGCTATTTCCGACACAACCTCAATGAGACAGCGGTTTTTCACATTTCTATGCGCGTTTTTGTTGCACATTTCTGTGCATATTTTATGCGCATAAATCCAGTCGTGCCTTTTTGTGGGCAGATTCTAGCTCATTGATAATAATGGGCAGACGCGTGTTAAACGTGCGCAAAAACGCAGCAAACGCGCGTTTCCTATTGAGTGCATGGGGCTAAAGTGGGCTGTAACATCCCAAAATAAAGCTCACATACTTTTTCCAGGGACAGGCATATTGCTTATTGCGCTCAGATGTGAACAGGGCCATAGAAATAAATGGGATTTTTTTGGGGGGGGGAGGGGCATATTCTGTGAGCGTTTTTTAGAGCAGTAAAAGCGATACAAACGCTCAGTGCGAACTAGGCCTTACTGTTAATCAAACCCATGCATGGCAGTCACACGCATGTAGAAGAATTCAAACAGTAGGCGTGTGTAGCCTCATCTCTTTAGCAAGCAACAGCCACCAATAATGAGGTTGGGTACAGATACAGAACTCCATTCCTGATTACCAATCATCCAAAATCAGGGCAGGAATTATGTAATTTCCTGTAAACTGTTTAGTTGCTGTTAGCAAACAAATTTCCACATTTCACACAATTTTCAAAATCAGTCCCCCAATTTCATGAAAGAAACCGTACAGGGTACTGCAGCTTGTATTGCAGAGATTTGATGAGCTGTAAAATGATAGAGCAAATAACTGAATGATAAAAGCTACAGGTATAGGACAGTTTGTGCTATGAAGACAACCTTAGCCATGCTAATGTCTCTGTCAGTTGTGTGGTTACATTAGTAATATGCTGCAAGTTCAGCAGACACCTCTTCAAGCTGCCAGTTATGCTTAATTTCACCATAATGGCAGTCAGTACAAAGTCAATGGGGGGAAGGGCTGGGTCACCGCGCACACAAAGAGAGCCAAGATGAAAGCCATGAAACAAAAGACAAAACATGCTTTTAAAATACGACTGCAGATGAATGGACACTTTAATTATGCTCATTTAGCGTGGCAAAAATGATATGCAGTGATTTGCACTTTTTTTTTCTTGCTCAAGGTTAATTACAAATATGCGAATTGTGAATTTAAATTGGATCCAACATTTACTTCTATAAGTGTTACAGTCCTTTTAAAGGAACATCCAGCAAACCATGGCATTGGGAGAATGGAGTATAAGATCTATATATTTATTTGATTTGTGAATGATGAGGGGGGATGCCTTTGGTATAGTTTTCACTCTCGATACAGTTATGTGTGTTGATGCAAAGCAGTGGATAGGGTAACAATTACTTATTACTTACTATTTATTTATTACCTCTCAAGGAGATCACAGCATTCCCCCATAACAATGCTTTTATTACCTTTTCTTCTCAGAAGGCCATCTCAATCTTTGTTCAGGCAACATGTATGGTCAGCATACTGTTGGGATTAAGTCCACAAGACACAGTGTGTTCCGGCCAGATTTATTGCCGGAACACACTGCATCACATTGCGGCCGGCTCACTTTGTTGTGGGGCAGGAGGGGGCCTGGCGGTTCTCCGGCCACAATGTGATTGGTCGCACGAGAACGCAAGGCACACAATGCCTGCAGTCCGGTCCATACAAAATGCTGCAAGCATTATTTTGTTCGGACCGTAGGCATTGAGTGCCTTGCGTTCCTGTTCGGCCAATCACATTGCAGCCAGAGGGCTTGGCTAAGGTGCTATTCACTTCAATGGACCGCAACGCCCCCTCCTGCCCTACAACATAGTGAGCCGGCCGCAATGCGATGCAGTGCGTTCCGGCCGGAACGCACTGTGGTGTGAACGAGGCCTAAAGTGACACTAAACTCAAGAGTTACATCTTAAAAATCCATTCAAGCACCTTAACTATTAACAAAAATGTATCTTACTTGTGTATTACTCAGCTGTAGATCCTCAAATCATCTCTGAATTGGTGCTGACTCTGTCCTTCCTTCTGGAGGGTGGCTACTTTTGTTCCACTGCGTGTGTTGTAATGTAGTCACCCTTCCAAGCTTGTGATGGACTACAATCTCACGTTTAGTTTACCAATTTGTATTGAAGTTATAGCCCATCACAGCTGTGAGCTTAGAGCGTTGACTACTTTACAACACACACAGGGACCATGGGGAACAAAAGTAGACACCCTCCAGAAGGAAGGACAGTGTCAGCATGAATTCAGAGGTTATTTGAGGATCTACAGCTGAGTGATACACAAAGAAGCTACATGTTTGTTAACAGTTAAGGTACTTGAATGCATTTTTCCGATTTAACTCCTGAGTTTAGTGTCACTTTAATATGTTGACCCATATGGCCTTGATGCTTTAGCCTGTATGGGAGAGGCACAGGTTCCATTTAAGGTCTTTTTATCTAAAAATGTTACTTTTGACATTTTTGTTTGGAGATCTTGTTTAGATAAAATGTATTCCCTAGCCCCCCCCCAACTGCATCGAATTTTATCTCTAACTTATAAAAGAACAAGGCTCAAGGCTTAGCTAGAATGAGCACTAACTACACATAAATACTAGCTGTCACCTGACCCACCACAATGGGCTGATTTATATTTTTAGCAAACATGCATACCTCCCCTCTGGCAGCAGATTATCAGAGTACAGCTCGATCAAAGCTCATTTCTAACAGATCAATAACTAACGGATATCACTCAGTCGCACCATGTACGACTGCTTGATCTTTACTGTTCATTAGTCTGACAAAACATTTAGGGGGGAAATTGATCTAAGAGGCCCAGAAATTCTCTGCAGTGAGTTGATCTGCACACCGCAGTTTTATATACATCTGACTGCTTTATGTAAAAAGCAAAGCCTGGAAATAAAACTGTAATATAAGATTTGTGGTATCAACATTAATGTTCAAATGTGGACCTAGTACTCGCATCAAACTTATGTTTGAAGAGGCAGATGGCACAAACTATACACTACACACCCGCTTAGACTTATGGTATTGTAAAAATGGAAGTATTATTTCTTTGCATTGTAGATTGTAGGCTTTTTTTCACTTTTATGCAGTATATGCATGAGGCATTTGTTTATTACATATACAGACTGTGCTTACTGCATACTAATTGTGCACAGTGGTTGTTGTGTATTGTTTTTGCTGCACTGTGCCAGTTTTGTTTAAAGGAGAATTATGAGGTGAGTGCTTTTCACTCAGCCTCATAATCTGAGCCGACCTGTGACAATGAAACTGTCACGGGTTGGCTCAGTAGATCGGGAAGTGAGTGAACACATACCGGCGCTCGCTCACTTCTCGATCCTGTCACTGCAGAGAGCCGTGACAGGGGAGTGACTGGATTCTCCCCTCCCCTGTCCGATCCTCCAGCGCTGACTGGCGGAGCGGACGGGGAAGGGGCGGGTACAGCTGGCTCTGCCTCTAGACATAATTGTCGGGATCCGTTTCAGCTGCGGCGTCTCAGTATACCATGTGCTGCAGCTTGCGATATACTGAGCTTTGGGTAACGGGAGGACGCTAGTTTTGTGTCCTCCCGTTACCCTTCGGAGAACTATGGGGAAAAGCCCTGACCCCATAGTTCTCCTTTAACCATTTTTTAACATTGCACATTAAAATAACAATTTCCTGATTCAAACTTTTCTAACAGGGTTATTCACAAAGAAGCCGAAGGATCCAGCCGTAGCTTCGGCTGATCCTTCGGCTCTCTTACGCTCTTCAGTCGAACTGAAGGGCTGCTGGACGGGCTATTCACAATAGCTCATAAGGCGGCAAAGCGGCTCAACCGAGCTGAAGGTTCGGCTCGACTGAGCCGAAGTGCAAGCGAAGTACGGCTGATTTTAGCCCATGTACGGCTGAAATCAGCCGCACCGAGCCGGAGTGAATAGCCGAACGGCTGACTTCACTTTGGCTGGGTTATTCACTCGGCTGCATTCGGCAGCTTTGTGAATAACCCCCTAAATGTTGTTAATTGGTATGGATGCAGTGGAATAAAAATTAAATAGTATGGTAATCTTCATAAATAGGCCCCATTGAATCTATCACCCACTTTACTTTATTTGTGGCTGTAAAGTGGGAAAAATTAAACCTTTAATGTCTTATTATTCTACTGGGAATAATTTAAAGACTATGTTCCACCAAATTTGAAAACGTCATACATGGCTGCTGACAATGTCACAAATCTCATGAATTGTTTTGTTACAAACTTTGGCAGAAGCATCTCACCAATGGAGTCTCGGTGAATGATGATTCAGACTTACTCTTTAATACTTAGGCATTGTTTGTAAATGTCAAGAGCTCTGCACTTTACCTTTCCTGGTAGTTTTCTGGGATCTCCCGCTCTCATATCCATAGATGGTGGCACTTGATAAATGTCTTGTGACTGGGTCATTGATGGCGGCACCTGGTAGATGTCTTGTCCGGCTCTAGCTAATGGTGGGACTTGATAAACATCCTGAGAGTGAGGGGGGCTTGTGGATCCCACTGGGACTTGATACAGCTCCAGTGGTTGATTCATGGAGGGTGGAACCTGATAAATGTCTTGAACTTGACTAGAGAACTGATGTTGGGATAGCTGGTTCTGGAACAAGGTAGATTGCTTAGAAGGTGTGGTTTGGCTAGGGTGCGGTGGCCCCTGAGGGCTTTGATAAAGTGTCTGTTGCCCTTTAGGTGGTGCTGGAACTAAGTAAACATTGTCTGCACTCGGGCTCTGGTAGGGATGCATAGGTGCATACTGGTTTGAGGAGACGACATTATAGACTCCTTGGTTGTTATAAGGCAATGGAGACTGAGGTGGCTGCTGCTGCGATTGTTGTTGAGGCTTCTGTTGACCTTGATCACCAGCAGCACCTTGTTTCTTGTCATACATACCCACTAGAATCTTAACCCGATTTCCAGGAACAATGCCCTGTCGTCCATGTAGAGAACACAGCCACCATCCATCTAAACCTTGAGTGTTACGCTCCAGCACCGTCATAATATCCCCCTTTCGGAAGGATAGCTCGTCTGGGGACTCTGCCACATTGTCGTATAGAGCTTTGGCCAGTACATTCTGCAACAAACAGAGATACAAAAACATTAGTCATTAAAATACTTTTGCAGCACTACCAATTCACACTTTCAATGAATCAATAGTGGACATGTCAGCAGTACCAAATCACACTGGTATCTACAATAACATAGTTATTATTGCTTGCCATAAATAAACATGGCTTTTGAGCTCCCTCGTGAAATATAAAGCCTAGGCAAATGCTCACACAGGCTCTAGCTGCCAGGAGAATTGCAGGTGTTCCATGTCATTAGAGCCTGCAGCGAGCATATTGTTTTCAATCGTTCAGACCTTGTCTGGTAGCCTTGTAGTGAGGAAAGGGAATTAGGAACACGCAAGCATTGTACAACACTGCTAACCAGCAAGCAAAGCCTGCATATGTAAACAGCAGACATGGCTGAACCCTTGCACATATAGAATTACAAACTATATACCGAAACAGGATTTTTAAAGTATTAACTCACATTGTGAAGATTATTTTTATAAGATGGTCTTTCTAATGTAGATTTCCCCAAAAATATTGAAAATTCTATAGATCTCGTTTAGGTTGAATATGTACAATACAATTGATCCAGCTGTTCAACCTGACCGGTGGACTTCTGAATGATCTCTGCTCTCAAGTCAAACTGCTGAATGGTTCAAGTGACTATAGAAATGGTGATGACAGCTTTCATGAATGAACTATCTTCTTACAAGTGAATTATTCCATTATGGTTGATAGTATCTTATGGTGCAAAAAAGGGCACTGATAGCCAATGAGATGCATTTCATGTCTGAAAAAAGGGATAATTGGCTGATCAAGCGCGAAAAAACAAAATCTGTCATCATTACCCCCTTGTGTCGAGATACCTGAACACATGACAATGATACAAATGACAGAAGTCTTAACATTTTACACTAGACAACCAAATCCACCATCTTAAAACTGCCAGAAGAAAGGCCAGAGCCCATGTACGAGACAAAGGTTCTAAATCTCCATCACTCTATCCGAAACTAAAAAAAATTGTGTTGGGTTTGTTCATATACTGGGTTACTTTGATCATAACACTGATATATCTTGAATATAAATGTACAGAAACATGGGATCTCTAGAAAAGTAGAGTAGTGTTGTGAAATATTATTATCTTGGCAGAGACTCATGGTGGAATTCAAAGCATCCTGCGTACAGAGATTTAGAGGTCAAGGATCTTAAGTTCAAAGCCAACGCTGCTTAATCTCTGTGTTTGTGAGGGCAAAGTGGAAATAGTCTCCCCAGCCATAAGAGACACCAGCTAACAAACCACTACATTCCAACCAACAATCAGAGGTCTATATGTGCTGGATTCTCCCATGGAAAGAAGGCAACACAGTCAACAAACACAAGGCAGATAGAAGTTCTTATGATGACTGTTTGACATGTTGGTGTCAAGGCCAGTTGTCAAAGTCTGTCTTCTACTGTATTCATAAAGAATTAACAAATGCATTTTGTTTCTAGACCATCTCTAACTAAATGAACATTCATATCTATCAAAAGGAATATCTTCAAAGATCCCTCTCTTGTTCTTCAAGGACATTTTCTTGTGATTTTTCACCTTCTGCATGCTTTTTGCTCCATATTTTTCTGATTATATACTGTATGTCATATGAACTGTAGAATTTTTCCATAGTAACTATCTGTACGTTAGAGAGTTCAGTCAGAATAATTGCTAAATGACAGCTGCCAGAAAGTTGGTTACTCGACAAGCCTCCTGGCAAATAAATTACCTTCAGTGAAAGTCAGTTGCTAAAGCTTTGTCCATTGACTCCAGATAACAGGAGCAGTCAAGCATAATACTGTGCTGCATTACTTAGCAGGAAGTACGGCATGTAACTGAACTGAGCAATATAGCTGCCCCCCCCTCAACAAACATAAGCATACATTACTAAAAACGTAACCTGCAAACATAAGCATACATTACTAAAAACGTAACCTGAACAAGTGTTATATATACTGTATTTTGCGGTCCATAAGACGCACCGGACCATAGGACGCAGGGAGGTCCGGCGCGCCTTATGGAGCACTCGACAGACTGTAGCTTCTGACACAGCTTCTATGACAGAAGCTGTAACAGAAGCTGCAGTTAGTGACCGCTGAGACAGGTGCAGTGTGATTACAGCGCCACGGTCTCAGTGATCACACAGAGCAGACGAATGCTCACGAGGCGGCCCAACGAAGTCATCTCGTGGAGTCATCTCGTGGCCCAACGAAGTACTGATGGGGTGGTCATAATAATCTGGCCACTCAGTGTATATCTTAAAGCTGAAGTCCAGGCAGATATACAAGACACAGATAACACAGCTCAGTAATTGATTAAATTACTGTGAAGTATTGTGTGATTTCAAGGCCACCAATGCGCAGAATGAATCATGCACATGTGCAGATAAGTCCCAGTCCTGTGATGTGTTTGCGCATGCACAAGATAAAAACAAGGAAGAGGACGAGATGACAGTGGAGAACCAGACAAGTTATAGGAGAACTATAGCTGCAAGGAAGACAATGCTGGACTCCATGGACTAGTAACTATGGTTCTTTTTATTATTATACAGGGATAAGTATTAGAAAGATTAAATATAATTTTACTTAGGCAGGGTGAAGTTCCTCTTTAAGAAAATGGCCATATCTTGCATGGTGTAGCCTTGCATTCCCAGCTCCCTATTATCCATTGAGGCCACCCACTGGAGGTGCCTGCATTATTATTCTGATGCTGGTGTCTGGTGTCTATCCAGCCCACAGGTTTGCTTTAAAAAATACAATTTTAAGGCATACCTGTACGTAAAGACTGTTCTCAAACCTACTAAGATTATTTGTACATGCATTAAACTGTATACATGTGTGAACTATCTGTAGTGTTGAATGGATGTACTCAGACCAACACGCTTAGTTTGGCTATTTACAAGGTAACAAAGAATTCACGTCTCGTCGCTTACGTGAGTGCAACATGCGTGTTATCGTTGCTGTCAACACAGCTGTCAGCTAACACACCTGTGGACAGATCTGTTAAACATTAACATGTCTGTTCACTGCTCACTTTCAGAAACAATTTCACCATCTACTTTAAATCTAAAATATATTAATGTCTTATGCATTAATATACCATAGCAGGTTGTTAGATTTCTACACCAAACAATCCTTTTCAGATTAAACTGGAAGCCAGCAGGCTCAACAAAGCCGGCTTGGTTAAAAGTGTGTATAAAGCCATTTTTTTCATTGGATAGGTTTGGGAAAAATTGGCAACCCTGTCAGTTTTCTATTGCTGTCTACTAGAGATGAGCCTGGGCTTGGTGTGAGCCCTGTTTGCCTGAGATCATCCAATCCCACTAAAAACCGTGACCGCGACTCCCCTCTCCCGGCCCAATCAGTGGCAGCAACTGCAGCAGGGTTTTCCCCACGCCTTTGTGATAAATAATGAGGATTGCGCCTCCCTGCAAATGATTGGCACGGGAGGAGGGGGTGGAGGTCACAGTTTTGAGCTGACTTGGGCGAAGTGGGTTTCCACCAAGTCTAGCCTTGTCTCTACTGTCTACGTGCCCAATGGAGATATTCTTTCTCTGTCCTGGTGACAATTTTCATTACGACTGGCAGTGAGGGAAACTCAAACGTTTAAAAGAAGACTATAGCCAAACCTTCTTTTTTGGCTACAGTTCTCTTTTGGATCACATGAGTACATTTTTTAATGTACTCCTGTGGCCCAAACTCAGCAAATAGCGGGGTACTGCCTGCTATACGCTGTACGCTGCAGCCGGGAAAGATCCTGACAATATTTTTGGGATCCACCCCACTGCCTGATTGGCAGCTAGCTCTGCTTCTCTAGAGCCAGAGCCATCTGTGCCCACCCCCATCCCTGTCTATCCCTCCAATAAGTGCTGGAGGAACAGAGAGGGTAGGGGGAATTCCTGACAGTCACCATTCTCCGCAAGCAGAAGCCATGAGCTGAGCAATCAGCTCACTGCTTGAAATGCGAATGTTTAGTACAGCCAGCTTTAAAATGAATTTCGTTTTTTAAATGTCTAGAAGTATACATCTAAAAACAAACCTCAGACGGTAAAAACCTGAGATATCTCCAAGCAAACAATGGTGTGGGTACAGCAAAGGTCATGCCTTGCTACTGCCAGTCTGTTTCTGAGTATTTCACTACAAATCTAGCATTGGGACACCACAATATACAGAGATACTAGCACCATTATGAGCATTTCTATGGCCAGTTGAGAACATAAAATATAAGGGGAAGCCTCTGAGTGATTAATGGTAGGATGGTGAACGGCAGAAAACTATGAAAGAAAGCTATGAAGTAACCCAAGCCCCTTATTCCCTTGAGGTCTAATAAGTCTTGCAACTGTTTCTATATAACTGGCATCTTTAATCTCACGAAGAAGTAAAGAAAGAAGAGATGACTCCCACCCAATCCCCTGTATCACCTCTCTTTATATCACCAATCCCAGTACTGCCTCCGTCACCCCTATATTAGGAAATACATGAGAAATGATGACCTTATTCACTACTTCAACCTCTGAAAAAAAGGAAACTGTAGGGAAGACTGTAGAAGGTGTGCAGGGCATGGCCTTTTCTTTTCTGCCTCAGAAAAAAATTATATACATATACTGTATATGTATATAAACCAATTCAAAGAAGAAAAAGAAGCAATCATGGGTCCTGCAGCGGAGTTAAAAGAGAACTATGAGGTGAGTGAAAATCACTCATCCTCATAGTTCGAGCCGACGCGTGACAATGAAACTGTCACGTCGGCTCAATAGATCACAAAATGATTATAGTTTTATTGTCAATGTTTTGATGGAGCTTAGTCCGTCTTTGTCAACATTTCTTGACAAAGACGGACTGAGCTTTCACCTATCTCTACTGCAAAATCCATGAGTGCCTCAATACCTACTTTGGATTTATATGGGTATATTTGTGGATGAGCACCGGTGCATTTAGCTTACAAATAGAGTGTGGTGGCTACCCTTGGGACTAAATATATAAGTCCAAT